GTGCAAGAGAAGCTGGATACGTTATTCCATTATTTTAATTCTTTAAAAACAGTAGCAATAAGTCTAAGTGATGCAAGTTAATTTTTTTTTTTATAAAAGTGTGTATTTGAATATCCACTTCATCGTTTTGTTGTCATTCTGTTCATATTTTGCTTGCCTATCCGTCATATGAGACGAACTTTTAATGATAAATTTAGTGATAAAATAAAATAAGAGTAAATTTTGCGATTCGATTAGAATAGTAGAATAGTCGTGATAATAATAATAAACTTCACTTGGCGACGACATTTACGTTGCGGTAGTTTCCGTTAAGCATTTAACATCAGGTATAATATACCTGATATCTAATATCAGAGACATTAGGCAATAGTCATAAATTTGTTGTAGTGTCATCTGTCCTTTATAGGCGATCAAGATTTCAAGTTAGTCCAAATAAAAAAAAAAAACACGTGTGGTACTCGGAGACTGCCGCGGTAAAGCTATTGCATAGCGTTTTAATCAACTTATGCAATTATAAATCGACAATAATAATTTAATATTAAAACAACAATAAAATAAGACCACTCTATATTTATAAACAATAACAAAAGCAAAACATTAACTGTCCCCTTCACACTCATAACCTAGACCGCGCGAGGGAGAGATGGGCAGACTTTTCATGATGTACATGCGGCAGTGCGACGTCACGCCGCGCGCTTATTCACTACACAAGCGCAACGTGAGAATGTGTTGAACGCGAGCTACATAGTAGGCGTAGTGGGGGTGTCAGGTTATTTTCGTTACGGAATTTCTTGATTCAGTTCATAGAAGCTATGCAATAGCTTAAAATTTACGGTGAAAGATTTCGTTACCATAGCATAGACGCATCGAATAATACGTTACAGCGATTTCATTATCAAAACTATTTTACATGGTTTATTTGGCTCACGGATGGAGTTTTAATTATTGCTATAGATATGTTCTCATGAGTATCGATAACGACGGGGGCTGGCTCTGCGCCAACACTGCAAGTTGTGGCACAGCTAGTCGTGCGAAATATCAAATTACCCGATAGTTCCTAATACCGGCTGGCTTTTGAAAGTCATTTAATCTAAGAAGGGGCTACGACTTTTTTCTTTTCAATTGATTTTATTTGACAACAGTGAACCTCGGTCACTACAACTGTCATAGATAATACACATAAATACAACTATCGCGGTGTTTATCTGAAATATAACCGTTTATTAAAGTCATCTATTGTATATTTGCGTTATTATAATTGAAACCTTCCCGGTAGTATACAAAAAACCGCTGTACAAAACACAATGCTGTAAGTAACGTGCGAATGTAGAGAAAATAAAAACAAATGTGTATTAACTTTTTTAATATTAGAAGTGCTGTTTTGTTGTGCGGTCTAATTATTAAGGTACATGTAGTTGCGATTATACGTGCCTTAAACATTTAAAATGACGTTACAATCTAACAGCACAACCAAACTCTAATTTTAATTTTTACATGCTGTTTTGTGTTACACAATTAAAGAATAATAGAATAGGTTTTTTTCTGTTCACAATAAGCAAACTGTATTCTTTATTTTTAATGAAACACCTAGCACTCTTCTCCGAATAAAATAAAGTTACCGAATAATAATCATGACATTGCGTTGTTTAAAGATTTTATTATTTTATATTTTTTTAAACTCTTAAATTGGCTGCCGAACTTTTAGACCACCTGGTATTAGACAATTACCGGATCCTATAGAGAGTAAGTACAACATGAATGTCATAGATAGAGTCGAAAGCTCGGTTAAATTGGTATGTTCATATATTACACTGCACAGCTCGAAGCGCGTAATTGCTTTGCATCTAAAAAAGGACAGCAGGAAGCGTGTGGGCTTAAACAATAAGCTACCAATTCGGCGCGACATTTCCTGAGCGACATTTTTTATTTTTATTTTTCTATTGCTTATTTGGATGGATGAGCTCACGACCCACCTGCTGTTAAGTGGCTACTGGAGCCCATGGACATCTACAACGTAAATGCCATATCTTGAGATATGAGTTCTAAGGTCTCTGATTTTAACAGTAATTTAGTGGCGTATCGACATTTCCTTACGCTATGTTTAGGGTGTCTGTTTTGATAACGAATTTCTATAAAATTCATGTGTTTGCTGATTAATATAAACAAAGTTTTGACTGATTCGATGGTGCAGTTTTTTTGTTCCTACCTAAGCTGGTAGTCTTGAGAGGCTATGCCAGCGTAATCGAGCGACTAGGTGGGAGCGAGTGAGCTCTCAGGGCTCTAACCTGGGGGCGTTGCTAACACTAGCCCTAGCAAGAGTAGTGCTTCGCAGAATCTACCACCGGATCAGAAACGCGATCCTATTGAAAAGATCCGGCGAGAAACTCAGTGGGCTGTGACTATGGGTTAGTTTACTCGCCGAACCCTTCGTCGCGAGCGACGGGTTCGACGATCGTTCGTGGGTCGGGAGGATCCGAGTGGTGGAGTAGTTACGACCCTGACTGTTGCGCCGATCGTCATAGGTTCGATTCCCACCTTAGGCAAACATTCGTGTGATGAACAGACTTGTTTGTTTTTTGTCTGAATATGTTTTATCTATTTACGTCTATATTTAAACGTATTTAAAACTGTATGTCAGTCTCTGGTACTATACACAGTGAATCCTAATTTAGGGCTGTATGACCATGAGTGATTTGTTCCCAGTTTTATTTATCATCAGTATTTTTATTATTTAAAGTGATGATTTGGATCAAGAATTTGAAATTTGAAAAGCTTTGTTTTAATTTTCAAACTTAAATTTACTAAAATCGAGAGCAAGTCATATCTTTGTTAAAGGAGGACATTCTGGGAACAACATATTTGAACCTGGAAAATACCTTAGTATTGTTTTTAAGAACAATCCTGATTCACGCTTTCAGTTATACGAATATCGATCGAGATCCAATTAAATTTGTCCATAATAATAATTAATGAACCCGAGTCGGGATCTTCGTGCGATACAGAACTTTCCTCTTTGTGTTAGTGCGAAAGTAATTTAACTTTATACTACCACTATTTGTTATGCCGACCGAGAGGGCTGGTGGTCGTGGCGTCGACGACCGCCAGTCCGGCGTCCCGAGGGAGAGGGTGATGGGATAGATGTGCTCCGCACTAAACGCTTCATTTTCCCCCTTTTGCCTTTTCATGAGTTCTGTCTCATTTGAGGTTTGGATGCTGGTTGTTGAGCGACAGGAGGTTTTAGTCGGTTCAACTCCGACATGCTCCGCTCTCCATCCCCAGTGGAGGGCGGGAGTCCGGTGATTTCCTCCTGACAAAAAAGCATTATTTGTTACACTTGTGTGTTTTTCCAAGGTGCTAATGAAACATTTATTACGGGCCGTGAATTTTCACAGCTCTCATATCATTCATTATGAACTATTATAGAAAGTTGAGTAATTGTCAACTTGTGGTGAGTAATTGTCAAATTGTTTTTTGTATTTTGGGGATATGTTTTGCTGTAGAGAAAACCGACAATGTTTTTGTTTGTTTGGACTTTAATTGCGAATATTTAAAATTATACTAGCTCGTAGTGTGAGATTAGTACAACAAACAACTGTATGTAGGTGGAAAACGTAAAAGGAATAGAGTTACAATTATTGTCATAAAATAAAACAGTGACATGTTAAGAAGCGAATCATATTGACTTTCGTATTTTAAAGTACTGATGAATTGTTTTAAACTTGATATTCTCAACTGCCTCCCAAATGTGGTCACAGTGCGGAAACAAACATGGTTTTCAAAAGAATTTCAGTGAACTGAAAGTGATGTCATCTATTTTACAACAGCAGCATTCAATTTTGAAATCATATTTTTTAATTTTACTGCGGCATACTTTTCGATTGGAAAAAGAACATATATATTCATATAAATACCAATAATTATAATGATAATTTATATATTAATATTTATAAAACAATTTACACGTAAATATTACATTTTTGCCACGTACCATCCGGCTATGGAATGAGCTCCCCTCCCCGGTGTTTCCCGAGCGCTATGACATGTCCTTCTTCGAACGAGGCTTGTGGAGAGTATTAAACGGTAGGCAGCGGCTTGGCTCTGCCCCTGGCATTGCTGAAGTCCATGGGCGACGGTAACCACTCACCATCAGGTGGGCCGTATGCTCGTCTGCGTATAGGGCAATAATAAAAAAAAAATTACATAAATACTTATGCAACGTTTTGTAAATACTAAGTAGACGTTTCACTTTAACACATATTAAACAGATTGACAACTATCTGAAAATATATTTGTAGGGCATCATTTTTCTTGTTATAGATGTGTCAAACGGATGCTGGAGTCCAGCTCGTGCCATAATATATACATATGTATCAAGTGGATCAGGCGAAGTCCTTCACCGTACAAGTCATACATGAACACGTCTTATTTATTAGATATCGTTTACGTTTACAACAAATGTTCCTATCTCCAAGAAGCTAACTCCGACCATTCCATTTGGGTACAACGGGCGTGTTATTAATTAGGCCTCGCACGTATCTATAAAATCTATAGAAATAGCCAAGAAAATACATAAGTGTCTATTTACACAGAACCTTTTAGCTTGTAAATATTTCAAAGTTTTGCGAAGAAAAGAAATATACTTCTAACAAATTTCGAGGCAATTTGTTCAATTACTTCATTAAAACCTTAGAAACTAGCGTCAGAGCCTTTGAGACATCAATTTCATGGAATCACATATAAGCAAATACATTTCATTAAATTTCTGTATTTGATCAGATCGATTCGGCTCTCACGCCAACGCGGTATTGGTTTATTTAGCCCATATTCAATTAATTTAAATTATCATACGAGCATATACATAGTATACGTAAGCGAAGTTGATCGAATTTGTTAGGGAGAATTATATTATTTGTAGTATGGTTAATCCTTTATAATAACTATTTAATGAGCTTGATTGGTAAAGCAGTTGTTCCGCACAAAACTCAACCAATGAACAAAAACATGAACAAGAATCACTACATCTTGAAGACGTACTGCGATAAAATCTTTTTGGTCGGCTCCGGAAACTTTTGGTATCAAAAAACGGAATCTAGAAATGACAAAACACTGCTTTACAAAATTTATAGCTGCGTTTTGTTTTTTACGTATGGCTTCATGACGGTGCTGGAGATCATGGCGGCGATGATGGGCGATTTCCCGGAGGACGAAAAACGGGACTCCGTGACGTTTGCCACAAGCCACACCGTTGTTATGATTAAATTTATTTCCATAATAAAAAACAAAGAGCTCTTGAAAACGCTGAATCGTAAGATGATGATGATTTGCGAGGCTCACGAGGAACAAACGCTGATGGACGAGATGTATCGGACCGTGAAAATAAATGTTGTCGCTTATTGTGTCGCGGTTTATGGTTCAGCCACGTTTTACGTGTTTGAAGGTTTGAGAAAATTTTATAATGGTCAGTATTATATATTTGTATTATGATTGTAATTAAAGTTTTATTTTGTAACTAAAAATAATAAAATTTCTCTATAAGATAGTACGGATGGCTTGAAAACGAACCTAAAAGCCCTTTTCAAGTTTTATTCAAAGGAGATTCTGAATACAAAGGGTATTTTTTAGCGCACAAATTATTGAATAAATGTCCTAACTAACCTTGTCAGAGCCTATAGGCCAATCCCCACGTTTTACTTGTGGTCCATAGCAGTTTGGAAGCCACTATACAGTTATAATAATTAGCCCGAAACTAAGATTTCCTGTAGTATATAAACTAGAGACTACATACGTTTTGAATACCCACACACATTGGTGATGACTATGGGCTCAACGTCTATGAGATAGTCGTTTAGTTCTAGGTGAGTAAGCTCGTCTGCCCATCTAGAGCAAGGAAAAAGTAACATTTTTTTTTATTTCAAAGGTTCTCACTTCGTCACTATAGTCACATATTACCCATCTAACGATGACGATACATTAGCGGCAACCATTGTCCGAATTGCCACCACACTAGTCTTACTGATGATGTTGCTGACTATGATTATATCAGTTGATACGTACACAATGGCGTATTTAATAATGTACAAATATAAATTCATAACGTTGAGGCACTATTTCAAAAGATTAAGGGAGAATGTAGATGAGCTTGTAGCGGCTGGGAAGGCGAGATTGGCTGCTGAGAAATTGGCTCAAGGACTTGTCGAGGGTATCAAAATGCATAATGAATTGTTAAGGTAACCGAACCACCATTTCTTAGATGAGTTTGAATCAGTTATGAACAGTATTTTCTAATGGTTTTCCCGAGTAGTATACACACATAACTACTTTTATTTATTTTTTATTGTTCAGATGGGTGGACGAGCTCACAGCCCACCTGGTGTTAAGTGGTTAGTGGAGCCCATAGACATCTACAATCTAAATGCCACCACCCACCTTGAGATATGAGTTTTAAGGTCTCACTATAGTTACAACGGCTGCCCACCTTTAAACCGAAACGAATTACTGCTTCACGGCAGAAATAGGCGGGGTGGTGGTACCTACGCGTGCGGACTCACAAGAGGTCCACACCAGGTGGGCTGTGAGCTCGGTCACCCAACTAAGCAATAAAAAAATTAAAGATAAATGTGATATTCTGCTTCAGTTTATCAAAAGACATCCACAAAGCGTTCGGGACAGTAATGGCGTTACAGCTCTGTCAGAGTTCGGGCTCGGCGGTCTCGCTACTACTTCAAATTGCCGTAAGTAATACAATTGTTACGCTTGTCTTCACTTGCCCACGACTTTTTCTACTGATTTTCCAGAGGGATAGCGTTATTTGCCTTGAAAACGTTAACGTCGTTTCCTTAGAGATTTTTGCTTGCGCGATAGAAACTGGCAAAAACGCTCCGTTCGTTATTTATGTTCAGAAATTTATCAAGATAAAAACGATTTCATGATAAAAGTATTAAAACGAGTACAGTGATTGATTAGACGAGCTCTTGGTTGAGAACATGAACTAATAATTCTACTTTTGGGTGCATTTATGTATTTCAGCTACATTTTGTTTTCAGTCTCTGTATTGATCTTCTGTAGATTCTTTAATGGAAATTTGAAAGTCTTATAAATTTTTGTAATACTAAAAAGACCATTTGTAAATCTAAATTAAAATTCGTGATCTATCAGTATACTTCAAAGTNTATGAACAGTATTTTCTAATGGTTTTCCCGAGTAGTATACACACATAACTACTTTTATTTATTTTTTATTGTTCAGATGGGTGGACGAGCTCACAGCCCACCTGGTGTTAAGTGGTTAGTGGAGCCCATAGACATCTACAATCTAAATGCCACCACCCACCTTGAGATATGAGTTTTAAGGTCTCACTATAGTTACAACGGCTGCCCACCTTTAAACCGAAACGAATTACTGCTTCACGGCAGAAATAGGCGGGGTGGTGGTACCTACGCGTGCGGACTCACAAGAGGTCCACACCAGGTGGGCTGTGAGCTCGGTCACCCAACTAAGCAATAAAAAAATTAAAGATAAATGTGATATTCTGCTTCAGTTTATCAAAAGACATCCACAAAGCGTTCGGGACAGTAATGGCGTTACAGCTCTGTCAGAGTTCGGGCTCGGCGGTCTCGCTACTACTTCAAATTGCCGTAAGTAATACAATTGTTACGCTTGTCTTCACTTGCCCACGACTTTTTCTACTGATTTTCCAGAGGGATAGCGTTATTTGCCTTGAAAACGTTAACGTCGTTTCCTTAGAGATTTTTGCTTGCGCGATAGAAACTGGCAAAAACGCTCCGTTCGTTATTTATGTTCAGAAATTTATCAAGATAAAAACGATTTCATGATAAAAGTATTAAAACGAGTAAAGTGATTGATTAGACGAGCTCTTGGTTGAGAACATGAACTAATAATTCTACTTTTGGGTGCATTTATGTATTTCAGCTATATTTTTGTTTTCAGTCTCTGTATATTCTTCTACATTATTCTGTATATTCTTTAATGGAAATTTGAAAGTCTTATAAATTTTTGTAATACTAAAAAGACCATTTGTAAATCTAAATTAATATTCGTAATCTATCAGTATACTTCAAAGTATAATACCAGAAGAAAAATTCAATATGCGGCGATTAGTTCATAGATAGCGGAGATTGTATAATCGCACTGTCACCTATTATTAAATACTCTTCTGAAGCGTCACCTAAAAACATCATGTCATAAAGTGCCAGAAACACCACAAATCGAGTCCATTTTAGGCTTAGCTTGTGTTAAATGGAATGAGCTAAACCCACTGTACGGGTGGTAAGTGGCTCTTGGTGAAACTGTTCAGCTTGACTTCGGTGGCGAGTGGTGGTACTATTGTTAAAGTAGATGAACTTCCAGTAGCGGTACAGATTTTGTGGAATAAATGGTAATACTCAATTTCTCCGGAAATTCTGTGACTGTACGCCATTTATAAAATTGGGATCTCCGAAGTTTTGACCAGCTAGCCGTTTATTTAATTAATAAATAGTAAACTATAGTAGGGTTATTTTGTCGCTGCAGTTTGGGTCATAAAAAGTCGGAGCGGTGAAGCGAATATTTCGCTCTCTCTTCCACTCACGAGCCTTATGGACGGGAATAGTGATGCGCATTATTGTTGTCGATAAGCGTTATCGATAGTATATTTAGTTTTGTCATTTTGTGGGTTAGTGATAAAAATCAAAGAAAAAAAGTGATAAAGCAACGTATAAGTACAAAAGTTTAGAATACAACAAGTCACAGTGGGATTCATTAATAATATATTAATAATTCAAAAAATTTAAAACATTGTTGATAACAACACGTGCTTGTGCTGGTATATTGATGCCAACAGGCAAAATATTATTTTGAATAAATTGTGCCGTTTTGGTACAAAACAAAGGAGTAGCCATTGTGTCACTAAAGAAATTCAGAGAACGAATGCACAAAAACAAATTTCTCTTCGACATATATAACTAGTCAGGTCATAAGTATTGTCACACAGTAAAAAATTTTCTTTTAGAATGCTGGCCACAAAAAAGTTTATTGAATTCGAATTTCGAATTGTTTATGAAAATAAAAATGTATACTTTTAGAATTTTACTCATTTTTAAATATGGAGTGGACGCTTAAAGAAGACCGTGTTGCAGTTATTGCGTTGCATCGTTGCGGTTACGCGCCAATTCAAATTTTTAACATACTGAAAAATTTTAATATAACCAAAAGATTCGTTTATCGTACCAACAAACGATACAATGAAGACTCTAGTGTAGATGACAGGTCAAGAAGTGGTCGCCCTCGGTCTGTTAGGACTCCAGCAGTGATAAAAGCTGTGAAGGCGCGAATTCAAAGAAATCCCAAACGTAACTGTTGGCCTTTCAGATGGGGTTAAGCAGAACCACGGTGAAAAGGGTGTTAAATGAAGACTTAGGGCTTCGGGCATATCGAAGAAAAACAAGACATCGTTTGAATGCTCGTCTAATGGACCTGAGACTGAAGAGATGCCGCGCTTTGTTGAAGCGGTACGCGGGAAAAAAATATCGGAAAATTCTTTTTTCGGATGAAAAAATTTTTACCGTAGAAGAGAGCTACAACAAACAAAATGATAAGGTGTACGCATACAGTAGTGAAGAAGCGAGCAACCGTATTCCGCGTGTCCAACGAGGTCATTTTCCATCCTCGCTCATGGTATGGTTGTGAGTTTCTTATTGGAGGTTAACAGAGGTACATTTTTGTCAGAAAGGTGTAAAAACGAATGCAGTTGTGTATCAAAATACAGTCCTGACAAACCTTGTGGAACCTGTTTCTCATACCATGTTCAATAACAGGCACTGGGTATTCCAACAAGATTCGGCGCCAGCTCATAGAGCGAAGAGCACACAAGACTGGCTGGCGGCGCGTGAAATCGACTTCATCCGGCACGAAGACTGGCCCTCCTCNTGTTGAACTTGTGTGTTTTTCCAAGCTGCTAATGAAACATTTATTACGGGCCGTGAAGTTTCACAGCTCTCATATCATTATGAACTATTATAGAAAGTTGAGTAATTGTCAACTTTGTTGTATTTTGGGGATATGTTTTGCTGTATTGAAAACCGACGATGTTTTTGCTTGTTTGGACTTTAATTGCGATATGTTAAATTACACTATCTCGTAGTATGAGATAGTACAACAAACAAACGTACGTTGGTGGAAAACGCGAAAGGAACAGAGTTACAAGTCATCATCATCATTCTCCTGCCCTTCTCCCAGCCACCTGGGGTCGGCGCAACATGTTTTCTCCTCCCATACTCTTCTAACATATACCTCCCCTTTTTACCTACCCTCTAACATATTCGCTCACTCCCCTCTTACCCATATGGTCTTTCACGCAATCCGTCCAATTTTTTTTGGGTTTACCTCTTCCTCTATATCCTTCCAGAGTTACAATTCTTGTCATAAATAAAACAGTGACATGTTGAGAAGCGAAGGCCGCGAGTGGATCAGGCGAAGTCCTTCACCGTACAAGTCATATATGAACACGTCTTATTAGATATCGTTTACGTTTACAACAAATGTTCCTATCTCCAAGATTCTAACTCCGACCATTCCATTTGGGTACAACGGGCGTGTTATTAATTAGGCCTCGCACGCATCTATAAAATCTATGTTTCTATAAAATCTATAGAAATCGCCAAGGAAACACAAGTGTCTATTTACACAGAACCTTTTAGCTTGTAAATATTTCAAAGTTTTGCGAAGAAAAAAATTTACTAGTAACAATTTTCGAGGCAATTTGCTCAATTACTTCATTAAACCCTTAGAAACTAGCGTCGGAGCCTTTAAAATATCAATTTTATAGAATCACATATAAGCAAATACATTTCATTAAATTTCTGTATTTGATCAGATCGATTCGGCTCTCACGCCAACGCGGTATTGGTTTATTTAGCCCAAATTCAATTAATTTAAATTATCATACGAGCATATACATAGTATACGTAAGTAAAGTTGTTTGAATTTGTTAGGCAGAATTATAATATTTGTGGTATGGTTAATCCTTTATAATAACTATTTAATGAGCTTGATTGGTAAAGCAGTTGTTCCGCACAAAACTCGACCAATGAACAAAAACATGAACAAGAATCACTACATCTTGAAGACGTACTGCGATAAAATCTTTTTGGTCGGCTCCGGAAACTTTTGGTATCAAAAAACGGAATCTAGAAATGACAAAACACTGCTTTACAAAATTTATAGCTGCGTTTTGTTTTTTACGTATGGCTTCATGACGGTGCTGGAGATCATGGCGGCGACGATGGGCGATTTCCCGGATGACGAAAAACGGGACTCCGTGACGTTTGCTTCAAGCCACACCCTTATTATGATTAAATTTATTTCCATAATAAAAAACAAAGAGCTATTGAAAACGCTGAATCGTAAGATGATGATGATTTGCGAGGCTCACGAGGAACAAACGCTGATGGACGAGATGTATCGGATTGTGAAAATAAATGTTGTCGCTTATTGTGTCGCAGTTTATGGTTCAGTCACGTTTTTCGTGTTTGAAGGTTTGAGGAAATTTTATGACGGTCAGTACTATTTATTTGTATTATGATTGCAATGAAAGTTTTATTTTTTTTGTAAGTAAAAAAAAAGCCCTTTTCAACTTTTAATCAAAGGAGATTCTGACTACAAATGATATTTTTAGTGCACAAATTATTGAATAAATGTCATAAATAAACTAACCCCGTCCGAGCCTATAGTCCAAACCTCACGATTTACTTGTGGTCTGTAGCAGTTTGGAAGCCACTATACAATTAAGTATAATAAAAAACTACTATACAATACAATACTCCTCAAACCGATTGAGAGTTATTTTTTGTAAAGTGACACTCGACAATTTAGCCCGAAACTAAGATTTCCTGTAGTATATAAACAAGAGACTACATACGTTTTCATTTCTGCCACGTACCATCCGGCTATGGAATGAGCTCCCCTCCCCGGTGTTTCCCGAGCGCTATGACATGTCCTTCTTCAAACGAGGCTTGTGGAGAGTATTAAACGGTAGGCAGCTGCTTGGCTCTGCCCCTGGCATTGCTGAAGTCCATGGGCGACGGTAACTACTCACCACCAGGTGGGCCGTATGCTCGTCTACCTACAAAGGCAATAAAAAAAACGTATTGAAGACCCACACACATTGGTGATGACTACGGGCTCATGTGACAGCCGTTTAGTTCCAGATGAGTAAGCTCGTCTGCCTATTTAGGGAAAGGAAAAANGTGTAATAATCTGTAAGTATTTATAATTTAGTTTTATGATAAGTACGTGTTTACCAAACAACGTTGTGTTAGTAGGTACTACTTATTGTAAGAATACCTCGAAAAAGATCCAACCTCCTCCAGTGCAGCAGGAATGCTAAAAGGATGAAATTAGTTCGATCACAGGAATCTAAAGCAGGTCATGAGGCAATACTTACTACATCTCAGGAACGTCAGGCGAGGTTTCGTGATAGAGAAACTTCGGCTCAGCGAGAATCTCGATTGAGTTCACATTGTTCTCAAAAAAAGACCACTCGAATTAGGGTGAACAGGCAACAGCGTGACGCAAGTTTGTCCATCCATCGCGAATCTTATACACTATCGCGTGAGTCTGAGACTTTCACTGATAGGGAATCCCGCCTGAGCTCCTCAGAGGCCTTGGACAGAAAATGCCCGGTGTCAGGAGACACTTGAAGAACGAGAAACACGTATCACTGCCGATCGCGAGGCTCATGCATTATCGCCTGAGTCTGAGACCTTTACTGATAGGGAAATCCGTCTGAGCTCTCAGAGGGTTCGGACAGCAAATGCCCGGTCTCAGGAGACACTTGAAGAACGAGAAGCATGTCTCACTGCCGATCGCGTTTCCAGTGAGCCTGTTTCGTGATGATAATAAATAAAGCCCAAGGTCAGACACTAAAAGTTGTGGGTGTAGATCTAAGTGTTAACTGCTTTTCACACAGTCAACTCGGTCACACAGTAATGTAGCTCTGTCATATGTTAGCAATCCTAGCAACCTGTATGCTTTGATCCCCGATGGATATACGTCTAATGTCGTGTATAGAGAAGCATTACGTTAAATTCGATTTTACTAAATACCCGAATGACGGTGTTTATAAAGAAAAGATATGTCCTAGAACTGCTGCCCAAAATCGCTATTCCACGCGGACAGAGTCGCGGGCACAGCTAGTACTACCTATAGTAGAAAGAGCATTCGTACCTAGTCATGATTTTTTGTGTAATACACTTTGCAGTTTCTCAGATAAAGTTTATTTTTGAAACGTTTTTTTTTTGAAGTCTCAGTTATCATGTGGTGGGGCTGCAATAGGCACAACGGTGGCATTTAATCGTATGCTCTCACAATATCTCAGAGCCAGCACCCTACCCAAATCAATAAGTTTGTAGGTTTGTTTATTTCGCGTAATCCATTTAGGATACGTGTAAGGTCCACTGATGATATCTGCCTTTAGGGTCTTACTCGACACTCCACTTACCTATTAGGCCACGGTCGCATTCACTTACGGTAAAAGGACAAGTCCTATTAAAATAAACTTTTCTTTGATTATTTATTGCCCTTTCAAATAAATTATGATTCCGTTGCAATTCAAAAACGTCCAGATCCAGTCGTAAATTCACATTATCTGAGGCATGACATAGGGCTAAACCTCAGATTTTTTGGTTCATAACACATAAATAACAAAACCCGGCGAAAGTTGTGATTTATGTTGATAGCAGTAATGTTTGATCTTACATTGTAACTTCATTTTTATATTCTAACTGTAAAAACATATTTTCGTTGATGCCTTCGACCCTTTCTTTATTATTCGTTGTTTCTCGGATCTGTAAGGTTGTGTAAGGCTTTGGTATTGTTGAACGAATTTACAAGTCATGGTGAACACATAATTTTTTCTCGGGCTTTTTGATTTGACTTATAATTTAGTTTATATCAGATAGAGCTCATAAAATGACTTAGAAACTACATAGAAAGATCAAATATGACCACTTTTCCTGAAACTAAATGACACAAGCTGTGCGACGATTCCAAATGTTTTTGAGTAGTTAATTGGAATGTTCAATGTTGCGGGTGTCGGCGAAGGTTATGGTTAAATCTCTGTAATTATTTCTCTGTAATTAAATCTGGTATCTAGCAGATAATCTGTTAGGTTATTATATATGACACGTCAATCTCTTTGGTCTACAGTTGCATATCATTCACCTCTCTCCCTAATCTTGTAATGTGGCAGTTTCTTCAACTTTGCGTTTTATTTTTACTATTAGTGGAACCTGTGCTTACAAAAACGGGAATCGTCCTTATTAACTATAGTTTAAATTAAGGTCCAATTTGTATTTGTCTAAAATTTTGAAGTAATTGGCGATAAGAGCAAGTTGCTAATCAGTCATTGAAGCCTAAAAGTATTATCAATTTGCGTAAGTTTTTGTAATGGCCATAAATTTCAGATCAATTTATCTACTAAAGCACACCTTATTCTAAACTGGTTCAGTGTCTTACGACGACTTAGAATAATTGTATTTTAATTTTTCAGGCATCGTTGCTATCAGATGAGATATTCTACTGTGGTTGGCACAAGTGCAATTCGCCAGTTTTATCGACTCAAAGGAATATCAGAGATATCGTCTTGATTGCAATTCTGCGAGCCCAAAGCCCACTGGTTATGAAAGCCTTTAAAATGGTAGAATTAACTTACGCCACGTTTATATTGGTAAAAGTTACGTTTTTATCAAAAGCAGTATTTAGTTCTGTCTGTTTGCATATTTCTTAAGAAATAATTGGGTATCCCATTGTACAACCAATTCAAATCAATAAAGTCGACAACGGAGAATTTGTAATATTGTGCGATTTAAATAAAACCTATAATAGGATCTGTTTGCAAATAAAAACTATTGAAGGTCCAATCGCGGAATCCAGCTCATTGAAATGTCTGCACATAACTTTCATTCTGTTTCGGTTCAGTGAGCGATCATTTTATTAAATTGTTTCATGTTTCAGGTGGTGAGGAGTACGTATTCGGTGTTCGCTTTGTTTTACGCGCAGAATAAGTAGCTCGATTCATTTTTGTTATTAAAGAATTATGAGATGTGTTTTTTGTATTTATTTGTTCATTGATTCAATGTAATGGAACCGAAAAAATCTCTATCGATATTTTATATTTCACTACTGTCATTTGTTTTGTTCGAGTCACGTTACACAATGTACGTAAGGTCGCAAATTCTGATAAATCTGTTATCGTTAAGATTTCTGTATTGCGTACGTATGCAAATATAAAACATTTCAATGTTACGCATTGCGTGCTACGAACATGTTCATGAATAAATAAAACGTTGAAAGACTCGCCTACGTTAAGACCTATTGCGAAAATTTATAGCTCCACGTGTGCATTGATTAGGAAAATGAGATTGATCATTCGACTATTCTTTTGACGTACCGATTTTGAAAAAAAAAAAACATAATAATTATTGTAATATCCGAATAAAGCATGCCAGCCAATGTAATTAGCTAATATTAAGTTCAAAATACATTCCGTTAAAGAAATAAACTATTAAACTAGTTAATAATATAAGTGGCTAAAGGGGTACCAAAAAGGGATTGTATCTTATTAAAGTTCTGCCGCCGCGCTGTGATTTATTACGTTCCACATGTCGCCCGCGGTATATTTGCGTCCGGTTCAGTAGTATTATTACCCACACTTTCCAGGGCCAAATAAATTGTATGTGGAGAGCTAAATATAAGGAAATGCGGAAAGAAACAGTGTATCGAGTAGATAGATTCATAAAATAGATTAATTGTATTTCGCAATTTCAATTGGTCGCTCACAGAACAAGTTCGACATATCATGTAAAAAAAAACCGTTTTATTTTGATTTGTTTTTAAGGTTTTTTTTTTCTTTTTGTTTTTCCTACCTAAGCCTTGAGAGGCTATGTCAGCGTAACCGTAACGCGTAGGTGAGCTCTCGGGGCTCAAACCATGAGGCGTTGCTAACACTGACCCTAGCAAGAGCAGTGCTTCGCAGAATCTACCACCGAATCGGAAACGTGACCCACTGAGAAGATCCGGTGAGAAACTCAGTTGACTATGTCTATGAGTTAGTTTACTCGCCGAACGCTTCGTCGCGAGCGACGGGTTTGACGAGAACGGTGACAGGAGCTACCTATTTAAACCATCGTTAGTGGATCGGGAGGATCTGAAATGACCTGCTTAGGGTGACGTCGACTGTTTAGCATTCGGTCCATAGGATCGGGTATGTAATTCCCTGCGGCCACGACAAGAGGGTTAGCTTACTCGCTGAACCCTTCGTCACGAGCGTCGGGTTCGACGAGAACGGTGACCGGTGTTTGAGGTACTTAAATTCGTTAGTGGATCGGGAGGATCTGAGTGGTGGAGTAGTTGCGGCCCTGACTGTTGCGCCGATCGTCATAGGTTCAATTCCCACCTCAGGCAAACATTCGTGTGATGAACAGATTTGTTTGCTTTCTGTCTGAATATGTTTTATCTATTTACGTCTATATTTAAACGTATTTAAGTATGTAAGTCAGCCTCTAGTACTCATAACACACGGAATCCTAATTTGGGGCTGTATGACCATGAGTGATTTGTTCCCAGTTTTCTTTATCATCAGTTATGTTTATTATATAAAGTAATAATTTGGGTCAAGAGTTTGAAATTAAAAATAGCACTGTTTTAATTTTCAAACTTAAATTTACTAAAATCGTGAGTAAGTCACATCTTTGTTAAAGGAGGACATTCTGGGAATTACAAATTTGAACCTGGAAAATAGTATTGTTTTTAAGAACAATCCTGATTCACGCTTTCAGTTATACGAATATCGAGCGAGATCCAATTAAATTTATCCATAATAATAATTAATCAACCCGAGTCGGGATCTTTCGTGCGATACAGAACTTTCCTCTTTGTATTAGTGCGAAAGTAATTTAACTTTATACTACCACTATTTGTTGAACTTGTGTGTTTTTCCAAGCTGCTAATGAAACATTTATTACGGGCCGTGAAGTTTCACAGCTCTCATATCATTATGAACTATTATAGAAAGTTGAGTAATTGTCAACTTTGTTGTATTTTGGGGATATGTTTTGCTGTATTGAAAACCGACGATGTTTTTGCTTGTTTGGACTTTAATTGCGAATATGTCAAATTACACTATCTCGTAGTATGAGATAGTACAACAAACAAACGTACGTTGGTGGAAAACGTGAAAGGAACAGAGTTACAATTCATCATCATCCTCATCATCATTCTCCTGTCCTTCTCCCAGCCACCTGGGGTTGGCGCAACAATTTTTTTCCTCCCATACTCTTCTAACATATACCTCCCCTTTTTACCTACCCTCTAACATATTCGCTCACTCCCCTCTTACCCATATGGTCTTTCACGCAATCCGTCCATTTTTTTTTGGGTTTCTTCCTCTTTATCCTCTATATCCTTCCAGAGTTACAATTATTGTCATAAATAAAACAGTGACATGTTAAGAAGCGAACCGTATTGACTTTTGTATTTTAAAGTACTGAAAGGTTTTAAATTTGATATCCTCAACTGCCTCCCAAATGTGGTCACAGTGCGGAAACAAACATAGTTTTCAAAAGAATTTCAATGAACTGAAAGTGATGCAATAATTATAATGATAATTTATATATTAATATTTATATTAATTCTTTTTATATTATATATCTAAGCAACAAAAAATAGACCTTTTACTTTAACACATATTAAACAGATTGACAACTATCTGAAAATATATTTGTAGGGCATCATCTTTCTTGTTGTAGATGTGTCAAACGGATGCCGAAGTCCAGCTCGCGCCATAATACATACCTATATATACATAATATGTATCTTCTTATCAGCCCACAGACGTCCATATACAATATATAATATACAAATATCCTCATCTGTTCGATGAAATGATTAAAATAAATAAATAAATAAATAAAATTCATTTAATTCAGACCCTCTTAAGTCCATATGTTGTAAGTAGAATAATACTTAGAACTATGTTAGTAAAAATAAAATTAAAATTAGCAATTAAAACATTTAAACATTTAATTCATAAATCTGCGCTGCTTTGAGGCACCTGGTATATGGGTATGTATATGAACCCAGTGTCTCAAAACAGCACATTCGGGTTTATTACCTATAACCATCAGGATATTATTAGTACTCGCACGAACGCCACGCATCAGTGAGGCCGTTCGTTTGCGGATGATTGATGAAAAGTCATCCACGTGAGCATCCGCAAACATACCTGATGCGCTACAGTACCGCGGGAGCCCCAACAACATCCTGAAAGCAATAAGGTTTACATTTTTGAATGTAGCTATGTGCTTAATGAAGTTGGTTGTAGGCTCTAGGCCCGAAGGCCGCGAGTGGATCAGGCGGAGTCCTTCACCGTACAAATCATACATGAACACGTCTTATTAGATACCGTTTACGTTTACAACAAATGTTCCTATCTCCAAGAATCTAACTCCAGTCATTCGATTCGGGTACAACGCCAGGTCTCGCACGCATCTATAAAATCTATAGAAATAGCCAAGAAAACACATCAGTACCTATTTACACAGAACCTTTTAGCTTGTAAATATTTCAAAGTTTTGCGAAGAAAAAAAAATACTCGTAACAATTTTCTATGCAATTTGCTCAATTACTTCATTAAAACCTTAGAAACTAGCGTCGGAGCCTTTAAAATATCAATCTGATAGAATCACATATAAGTAAATACATTTCATTAAATTTCTGTATTTGATCAGATCGATTCGGCTCTCACGCCAACGCGGTATTGGTTTATTTAGCCCATATTCAATTAATTTAAATTATCATACGAGCATATACATAGTATACGTAAGTGAAGTTGATCGAATTTGTTAGGCAGAATTATATTATTTGTGGTATTATTAATCCTTTATAATAACTATTTAATGAGCTTGATTGGTAAAGCAGTTGTTCCGCACAAAACTCGACCAATGAACAAAAACATGAACAAGAATCACTACATCTTGAAGACGTACTGCGATAAAATATTTTTGGTCGGCTCCGGAAACTTTTGGTATCAAAAAACGGAATCTAGAAATGACAAAACACTGCTTTACAAAATTTATAGTTGTGTTTTGTTTTTTACGTATGGCTTCATGACGGTGCTGGAGATCATGGCGGCGACGATGGGCGATTTCCCGGATGACGAAAAACGGGACTCCGTTACGTTTGCCTCAAGCCACACCCTTATTATGATTAAATTTATTTCCATAATAAAAAACAAAGAGCTATTGAAAAGGCTGAATCGTAAGATGATGATGATTTGCGAGGCTCACGAGGAACAAACGCTGATGGACGAGATGTATCGGATTGTTAAAATAAATGTTGTCGCTTATTGTGTCGCGGTTTATGGTTCAGTCACGTTTTTCGTGTTTGAAGGTTTGAGGAAATTTTATGACGGTCAGTATTATTTATTTGTATTATGATTGCAATGAAAGTTTTATTTTTCTGTAAGTCAAAAAAAAAAGCCCTTTTCAAGTTTTAATCAAAGGAGATTCTGTCTACAAAAGATATTTTTAGTGCACAAATTATTGAATAAATGTCATAAATAAACTAACCCCGTCCGAGCCTATAGGCCAAACCCCACGATTTACTTGTGGTCTGTAGCAGTTTAGAAGCCACTATACAATTAAGTATAATAAAAAACTACTATACAATACAATACTCCTCAAACCGATTGAGAGTTATTTTTTGTAAAATGACACTCGACAATTTAGCCCGAAACTAAGATTTCCTGTAGTATATAAACTAGAGGCTACATACGTTTTCATTTTTGCCACGTACCATCCGGCTATGGAATGAGCTCCCCTCCCCGGTGTTTCCCGAGTGCTATGAGATGTCCTTCTTCAAACGAGGCTTGTGGAGAGTATTAAATGGTAGGCAGTGGCTTGGCTCTGCCCCTGGCATTGCTGAAGTCCATGGGCGACGGTAACCATTCACCATCAGATGGGCCGTATGCTCGTCTGCCTACAAGGGTAATAAAAAAAAATACGTATTGAACACCCACACACATTGGTGATGACTACGGGCTCATGTGAC